GTTTTTGTTTGGGTCGGAAAAAAACAACCCATGGGCCTGTCGAGGCGTCTGGGTATGACTTATGGCGGGGGGCAGTTTTTGTTTTCTTGGCGGGGTTAGGCGGAGTAGGGGGAGACGGTTTTGGCGGTGTGGGGGGAGAGGGATTAGGTGGGGTAGGGGGAAACGGGTTTGGTGGTGCGGGGGGTGACGGTGCTGGTGGTGTTGGTGGCGATGGATTAGGCGGGGTAGGAGGAGATGGGGTAGGTGGTACGGGCTCCGGTGCTCGTTTTCGCCTGGGCCGCTTCGGGATGGTTCCGGTGTACTTCTTCACCGTGGCTGACGTTTCCACGTCGGACAGTTCGTCTTCAGTGGGAAGGGCAGGAAGGGTATTCCCCCCGCCATCACTATTACCATCCATTGCGGGGCAACTGCCACCGCAATAGATACAAAACAACTACACACAGGGAACACACAGGGACAAGAGAAAAAGAAGAAGAAGAAAATATTTGCGTGGGATGGGAGAAAGGGGAAGCTAAAACAAAGGGGCAATAAATAAAACTTATTCGCTACTTAACTACACCGGCACAAAGCGTGTGTGTGGAAACGCTGCTATCACGTGGTGCGTTGGTGTTGGTGGGTCGGCAAGCTGGTGATACGACACGCTTCACTATCACTTGCACACCCACGCGACGGCGTGAAAAAATGATGGACTTGACGACGCCGTTAACTCCGGTGATGGATTACCGGGATGAATTAAAGCTGGATGGTAACTCCAAGGGGCTCGGCCGATGGAATTCCACTTCCTCTGTTGGACACTGGTCACTTGGGGCACCCAATGGGGGGTGAAAAAAACCGCTCGGGCGGAAAAAAACACCGAAAAAAACTAGATGCCGCGCAACTGAAACCGGGACGTTGTTAACCGACTGAATGCTCAACTAGGAATGATAACCCATCCTAATACATATATGATTGCTCATTAGAAACTTCGCACAGTATGGTGCCCACACGGTACACATTTGTTTTACTAATTCGAATGATGATGATGATGATGATGATGGTCCCACCTCTTACCTCTACAAAGCTTTGAGCTGGACGATTTATCTTTAAGATAATTGAATATGACATTTTAACCAGGTTGGCAAACAAAATCAAACTGGTTTCAGTTACAGATTTAAATTCCCTCTAAAATTTACAGTTGCATCACAGCGATATAAATGTGGAAAAGCTCAAGCGTCCACCTCTTAGTTCGCCTTTTTGTCCACCTAAAATATTCATAAGTATTACAAGCAATCAAGAGTTAATGAACAATCAACAAAGCATCCTATTACACTAGCAACCCCGCAATCTGATGCTATCATAATTTTCAGCAATGTCAGGAATGCTCACGAACCCCTAACATTTGCCAGAAAACTTACTACTAACTCAAAGTATCTATCAAATAAGCTTCAAAATTGAATTTTTTTTTTATCAAATGTTAAATTCAGTCCTCTATATCCGTAATACGCGCGCGAGGCTCAAACCTTTGTAGACTACTTTTTTTTTAAATTAATCTACTATAAAATCAAATATTAAAAATACATCATCACCCTCGTGGCGAACAGAAATAGTTTTTGCAGTGCTACAATAATTATTAAAAAGTCGTTATGACAGCTATCGATATAAAATAATCCGTTAGAGATAACTTCGTCAAGATACATTATTTGTCAATTCATAAAAAAATCACTGGATAACTGTTGAAAAGACAGTTTTAACCTGTGAAATGCAGTGTCTTTTAAATTCTGTAAGTGTTGCTGAACGTTTGATATGTCTAGACATCGAATTGAAAACATTTTTTCCTTTATAATATAATGAATTTTGTGAAGCACAAGTCAAAAAATGTGGTGTTCTTATTTCAACCGCGTTTCTAGTATTATATCTATGAAAGTCACTTCCTCTTTAAATTCGATCACACAAATATCGAGGCAGCAAACCGTTAACTACTTTAAAAATGAACACCATAGTCAAATATACAATTCTTCTGAATTCAAGTGAATCTATTACATCTCAAAATCAAACGCATTATTTTATTCTGCAAGCGCTGTAATCTCGATATTTGTGTTGTATTGGCCAGAAATAAAATGGAAGGGCAAAAGTCAAGATGAGGAAAGATGATTGATTTGTATAGCTGTATTTTACTGGCAATTAATAAATCGTTTTTCATTCGACATAGAATTCCATACTTCTTGGCAATTTTCTTGATGACATTGTCAATGTGAGAGTTGAACTTAAGTGTGTCATCAATAATCACGCCAAGATATTTAATCTCCCGAACGCGATCAATAGTCTCATCATCAATTACAACAGAGACGTTCTCATTTACTCGATTCCGCGAAATTACCATAAATTTAGGTTTACTTGTATTCAATTTTAACTGCTTATATTTCAACCATCTACTTAGAGAACGCAAATCTTCATTCAAGTGTAAAACGGCATCATCTAAATCCTTAGCTGCAATGAATAACACAGTATCATCTGCAAAAAGATTAATGTCGCAAAATCGTAAAACACGTCGCAAGTCATTAATATACATAATAAATAACAGGGGCCCTAATACACTTCCCTGGGGCACTCCAAGGGTATTCCCCACGGGACTGGAAACAGAATCATTAAAAACAGTCCGTTGAGTTCTGTCAGACAAATAGCTTTCAAACCATTTATATGCAGTACTCGTAATTCCAAAGCGCTTGATTGATCTTAACAATAAGGGCCTAGAAATTGTTTCAAAAGCGCGTTTAAGATCCAAAAAAACAGCAACAATCGTATCTTTACACTCCAAGTTATTTTTCCACTTCGCTAATACCAAATTCAACGCGGTTTCACAAGAATGACCTTCCTGATATCCCGATTGTTCTGGTATCAACAAACTATTAACCTTTAACAAAAAGTTCTAACATTTTCTCTAATGTGTGCCAACATGTTGATGAGACGAAACTCTTCGGCTTTAATCGTTCCAGCAACTTTTTGAATAGGGACCACTAAGGATTCCTTCCAAATTTGTGGCACATGTCCAGTTTGTAATGATTCATTAATAAGGTCCAGCAAGATGTGGCCAATGACATGAAAGCAATCTTGAATAACTCTAGCATTAACATTATCTACTCCAGCCGATTTTCCTAATGAAAAACAAATAACTCTAAGTTCATAATATAATATAATATAAAAACAAATGTCATGTGCGCGGAATAACCAGATTTCATAGTAAATTATTCTCATTCAAACATGTTTAAAGTATACACCAAAATGCAGGTAATTTTAAATGTCCTGTAAAATTTCAAGAGGAGCCCATCTTAAACCATCCATGTAAAATTCAAGGGACGTTTAATTTTACATGCATGTAAATTTCGAGTCGTGTAAATTTAAAAACAATTTTTATTTTATTTACATTTTACTCTTTTTATGTGCATGGAAATTCATGTAAAATTACAGAATAATTTTAACTGTGCACGCCGTGTCCAAATAGAGAGATTAATTAACTTTCATGCAGGAGAAATTGCTCTAATGTTGGCCTATGGATCTAAGATTGGGCCCATCGCTAAAAATCTGCTATTTATCAATTTTATCTAGATGAACACGTCATTGGGCGGTACTAATGGATATTTTTGGTCGCTATTGAAAATTTAGTCGTTTGCTAAATTTATGTATGGGCCCAAATTAGGGGCATTTAAGCCGACATTACATCCATTTTCCCTATGTATTTGTTGGTTGACGAAATAAATAAATTACAGGAGCACTCGCAACTATATGACTGTTTACCCGATCGGTGTTTTCGGGATTTTCGATAGAGTTATCTAAAATGACGAAGCCGGCAACAAAACATAATCATGCTGTAGTTCGACCGGTTAATTGTGCAATGATCCAGCTGGTTCAGTGCGGACAAAGTGAAGCTACTTCCACTAAAGAGCACCAACAAAGCAAACTGTTGACCTAAGCGCAGGCGACGGTAGCGAATATGAACAGTAAACGGAATTGAAAAGCAGTGTTCAAAGCAAGGGTTTATTGGGAGAGGGTAGGAACGGTTGATGAATGTGAGGTTAGATATTTGTGGTGTAACTGCATTGAATTCAGTATTCCGGCTCTTAAAAATGGTACAGCAAGAAAAGAAGGATATTTTGAGTAACAGCTATTGTATATTTTCTGATATCTTGAAACATTGAAATTTGGTTAATCAAGCAAGTATAGTTTCCGATGTTCTTTAAATTTTATAAACTTTCGTGGTTTTACTAAATTTATTGATAATTCACTGAAGTTCCAATAATTTGTTCCCTGATGATTCCAGAATGTCTTGTTTATTTCTGAGGTTATCGAGTTCATTGAACTTCTCTGTGAAGTTTTCTTCACTCATACAGCCGATTTTTTTTATGAACTTCCATAAATTCTCTTAATGTTTATTTTTTACTTTTTACATTTACTCTAACATCAGGACTAAATTCAAATCACAACGTCTTACATGCAGCTTACTGTATCGACTTAAAACCCACTTTACAGATGTTTATAAAATTTGTTATTTCGCCGATCCCTATAAAACGATAATCGCCCATAAAATCGATCTTAATCAGCACGCACCTCATTCGAACGCGCGTACTTACTATAATACATACAGATCTCGTCACGATTAGAGGGTTGATTCTCTTTCTCTCTTGTATGGCCCGCTCTTCTAGTCGTCGTCGGCGTCGTCATCGTCGTGTGCCGTGAGGATACTTAGCACGTTTACTGACTAAGATGCAATCAACCACCCTGATCCGAGATGAGCACGCGCGCACCTCTGTCGGAATGAAGTTTTGAATGGAGGCATCATCTCTCAGCACAAAACCTCCGCCACCGCGCAGCAGCAGACCCCCGACCAGACCCAGCATTCAGCACTTTGTCGATGCTCTTAGTATGTAGTAGATCTGCTGCCGATCGAGCAGCCCATAGTAGCAGCCGCCGTCTGCGCTGTCGTCTCTGGTGACAAGGGTATAAATAAGCCTTCCAAATCAGCATCGCATTTCAGTTCGGTGGTAATTTTTCCGCGAATAGGTTCGTTCTTTGCGTTTCGGTTTATTAGTTTTTAGTATTATCGGGCGATTCGGAAGATTCTTCGAGCGGGTGTCCTTTCTCGCGACAAACTAAATGAATAATTGATGCAGTCGATGGTTCCAGAGAAGACCAGAGGTGATAACATTTGAAGACTTCCTCGAAGTGCGATTTCGGAGGATCGTGTGAGAATTATTTTCTAGTGGATTTCTGTTCTGTTCAATCATAGAGTCCTGAAGCTAGTGCTTGAAAATGGTGAGTGGCTAGATGAATTTAGATTTGTTTTTATTTTCGGGACAACCGAAAATTCCAATCACGTTCGGTCAAGCAAGCAAGCGGAAAATCTAATCGCGATTATGACTGGGAGTGGATCAGAGGATCAAGTTCTGGAATACTAATTCGGGATGCGCGTGTGATGATCAACCAGTCGGTAGTGCTAGAACGGTTGAAGCGACTTTGATCAGCTGAGGGGACGGACATCAAGCCATAAACTTTATGATGAATTGCAAATTCTGGAGACGGTGCCGGCTGGAACTGTCCGGTTAAAACGGACCATTTGGAAGAGGATGTTAGTGAGTGAACTGGCGAGATAAATTTGTGATTTATAAAAATGCGATCCGTATGCTAATGGGACTGTGACTGTTTTTGTTTGCTCTCTTCACACGTGCTAAAGGGACTAACGGATTGAATCACGCCATTCATCATAAGCGGTTGACGGTTTGGAGGCGGCTTTCTAACAATGTCCGGGAGGGGAGGCCAGAATGCTGTTCTGAATAATTGGAACTTTTTTAATTAGCTGATAGTTTAATTTGTTTTTTATTATTTCTGAGATGGAATGGTTGTAAGTATGTATATTTTTTTTTTTTCGTGAAAAAGGCCAATATAGGGCTTTGTTTGTTTTAAGCATTGTTCATAGTTTATTTTCCTCAGATCTGGACATACACCACTGCTATTTAATCTATTGTGGTATTATCCGTGTCCTTAGATTAGTGTATGTAGTGTATTCGGTTTTGATACAGTTGTCATTCTTGTCTTCATCGCAAGGATACGACTCTATTTGGAAGGTCCCGCTCTATATATCCTTTGGAGTGTTGAAACACCCTCCAACGGCGCGCCCCTTTGTCAGTCAAAATCAGAATCCTAGTCTTAACCACTTCAAACTAGAGAACAGCGAATAATAGATTAGGAATCTCGTAGATGAAAAATGAGTACCAAGCTAATTTTCCCATTGTTTCAAGATCATCCTCGTTGGACAAAACCGAGTCTTGTCACCAATGCTGATAAAATCATTCCTTCTATACTAAACTTAGCTGAAAATGAAGACAACATGAACAGATAGACCAACCACCTGCATGAATTTGAATTTTGGCATAACAACATTCTTTTGATCAAAGCAACCTCTGAGTATCGAATTCAACATTTATTTTGGTTAATTCGTGGCTGGATGCAGGGTGGCCATACCTACCGATTGTCGGGATGCCTACCGACTCACAGACGAATGGTTCAAAACTACCGATTTTTCACTTTTCCTACCGAGAATCACAGGTTTTAAGTAATGAAAAATGTTCAATACCTATGTTTTGTTTACCGTGTAGCCAGTCAATTTGATCGAACGCGATGCGTTTTGCAACTTCAATCCAAATGGATGAGTTTTTTTTGCGTTCAATCGACTTTCTCTGTCTGTCTCCTAGCGGAGATACTATTTTCTGTATCTCCCTTTTTTGGTTCCGTATTCCATTCGTCCTACTCACACTTATTTGTTATGATTTGACTAGAGTCGGTGTATAATGAGTCACGCCAAGAGAAAACAGTTGAACTCGCATCACGGTTTTCGAAAGATTCCCTTTTTTTCACTTGGCAACAGAGGACCTGTACAGCAATTTCAAATGACTTCTAGCGAGTAAAAAAAAAGAGGCTTTAGTGAATCACAAAGATTTTGCCAAATTATCTTAACAAAAAATAGTGGACATTCTCATTACTGATCAATATCAAACGTATTCCATGACAATTTAATGCTTACTGCGTGTTTATGATCATTTCGTTAGTTATATTTTATATTTTATTGCAATACCTTTCGTGGACCTTTCATAGCATCGTAATGTTTGTTTACTTTGCATGATAGGTTTGACAGTTCAATAGGAAGACTTGGCTTCACTCTTGGCGTGACTCATTACACACCGACTCTGTATTAGACTATCCAATGTGTGAGGTTGAAGGACTGATGGCTCGGTTCAAAAGTCCACCATTGTACGTGATTTGTTTTCATCCTTCCCCGCTCACAAAGCTTTTAAGCTTAGGGGGAAGCCTTCTTAAGACAACCTACTGATAACTATCGATAAAAGTTTTGAGAAGTTACCGACAATGAAAAAAAATAATCCGGCCCCTGACTGGATGTTTATTATCGCCTGTGTTGTTGTCAATATTCATATTCATCTTGGTAGAGATTTTGAGGATCAAATGCAAAATGATTATTTTCATATTACACAAACATACACATTAGAACAAAGGATTAAAGGAACAAATGTGAAAATGAAACCAAATTTCAATAGGGTTCTTTAATATTCACTACAATATATTGCAAATTTTTCACTAGCAATCAAATCTATCCATTTGTTTTGACCAGATGACGCATTGATCTAAGAAATATAGAAAAACATCAAATTTTTATCGATGGAACCAATTTTTAGATCCAAGGCCAACATAAGAGCCATTTCATCTTATTTTTTTCTGTGTACTCTCTCGATTATAGGACCGGTATTATCTTCGTATTAAATCCCGATCAAGTATGTCCGGCTGCTTTGATATCGACATCAGAGTCAATCAACACGACTCTAAGCACACATTTTGCAGATTATCCAAACAGGGCCGATATTGAAAGTTAATCCAAGTTGGAGCTTACGGCCATGAGTGAACTTCACAGCAAAAAAATAATTTTGATATCAAGTCAAAGTGGATGCACTACAATCATGTCGAAAATATGGTGTAATATTACTTGCTAAAAAGGACAAAATTATCATTAATACAATGCATGAACTGACATTACACAGCTTTTACTGCATTTGTTTATTTATGTGGTCATAAAAATTACATGAAATTTTCGACATGATTGCAGTGCATCCACTTTGATGTGATATCAAAATTATTTTTTTGCTGTGTTGAGTTAATTTCAGTACCTCTATAATAGGAGCACTCGCAACTATATGACCGTTTACCCGATCAAACATACACACTTAGAAATAACTAATCTTACACGTGAGGGAATACACCTTTGACATAAAGGATGAGACGTAAACAAACATGTCAGTGCTCCGAAACTGAAAAGTTTAGAAGTACGTTAGATTAAGCTGAATTTCGCGTCTATTATGACTAAATTTTATTTCAAAATTGACGCTCGTATATATTCAGTCTCAAAGCACCTAAATTTATATTAATTTTTCTAAGTGTGCAGCGCTGTAGAACGTTTCGTGTCGGTTTTTATACACAGATTGATGGAAAATTATTGCCGCTTACTGAATTGATGATAATATGGAGTTTTTAGGCTCTGGAGTCGACAATATTCAGAATTATCATTTCGCCCTAAATGATTTTGATTATTTTGGTTTTGAGGATCGCTTCTGACTTTGACAATTTTGGGTTGGATAATCAAACAGTGGTGGATATCAAAAAAGGCGTATTCGTTGGTGTATAATAAAATCGTTTGTTCACAGCAAAGAAATTCAAAACGAACGCTATTCATCTACACTGGGTTGAAGCGCTACTCCTTGCGTGTGATGGTTAATGATAAAAACAGACACTGCTTGTCACTATCAACAAGGGCATACAAAGTGAAAAGGACTATGATGTGTTCCTTGGATATCTAACTTAAAAATCCTGTTCCCCTAGTTTGAAGTAGTCAGTACTAGGAATAGGTGGTAGACCTTAATGCCAGTAGCACACCACGAAAAGGTAAACTATCAGGTGTTACTGTTCATAGTTAATTCATTATCTATTTATAGATCGGTTACATATTTGGTTACCGTATAAAAAACTAAAATATTGTTCACTGGGCATATACTTCGATAATGATAAACACTTTAGTTTTGAATTGACTCACTAGGCGATGTTAGTGTGTAACGAAAACATTGTCTAAACATTTGGTGTAGAAACTTATTCCCGTGATATTGTTCGGCGCAGCCAGGATAGGCTGTTTCTGTGCACCACCAATGTAGAGTGCGCTAGGCGATTATGAGAGGAAACGTCAACCAAACCGTTTGTTCACATCAAAATGACATTTTTTACATCTCAAATTAACGCATATTGATATGCGTATCTTGCATATTTCCATCGAGAGAGGTCTTATTTTATTATTTTTCACATATTTGAACGGATTTACAGCATCCGGAAGATCATGACCGCTGGGGAAGCTTTATAAATCTTCACTTTTCTTAACAAAAAATATGTGGAAGCACCAGCCGGATCACTCCAAAATTGATACAGAAAATAAAATATTCCATGTGAATGATGACTACAAGCACCTGCGATGGAAAAATTAACCAGAAAAGGTTAAAACATTTTCCTCTTCCTATGTTTCACGGCAAAATTTTCAGCCCTCATCACTCTTTTGATGGTTCTCTTATTCACCACCAGAGGCTAAAACGATCGCTTAGTTTCTATTGGATTCGCCTATTCCTTTCTGAGGGGGACATCCTAGGAATCAATTTCCACTACTGTCACCCAATTCTAAGGAAGCTATTTCGTTTAAGATAGACTCTATTCAGTGTTGCTCAGCTGAAGGCATATGGCGGGCCATATTGAAATTTTCTATGTGAAGTGCGGGCCAAAAAAGCCAAGGGAAACAAGCCACCCTAGTAACATATAAAACATCTTTTTAAATAGGAATTGGAAAAGCATGTTACATAAATGTATTATAAGTGATGCCGAAAACCTTCCGTGTTTTAAAAGAGCTATTTAAATATTTTCTTACCACTTCCTAGATTTGTTCATCCCCCAAGATGATAATTTTTGGCTTTATCTTTAAAAGTTCTATAAATTTTAATTTAGCAATTACAATACCATAGCAAAAAAAAATAAGAGATTACAAATTGGCTTTACATTGATTGACATTTTTTTCATCATTTCTTCACATTAATTCAACTTAAAAAATTTAGGTTGTCATAAAGTGGTTGAAATGATGATGATCAGGTATAAAAATGAAACTGCAATGTGTTGAATCGGAACCTACCTCACTAATAAAAACCAAAGATTTAAGTAAACTA